TTCTCACCACTTAGATGTTACAGCCGGTGAAATACCGGTGACACTCCGAGAAGCCACTATTGGCAGAGACGGGGCGAGCGCGTCGCCGGCGCAACTCTCAGACCGGTTGCCGGCCAGCCTGCCGTAGTCGAGCGAAGCCTACTTCAGACCACTTCGAAGTTTCTGATGGTGAAACTCCAGGATCAGCCGCTGACGATTGTAACAGCTTACTTTTGCTACCAATAATTTATTCTTCGAAGTTTTTTGTTACTCGGCCCTTTGAAGCGTGGCATTCAGGACGTTTCGTTGAGGAATCGGACCGATGTGCAGCGTGGTTTAAGGTGCGAAATATATTGAAATGTTTCCAGTAAATACCAACCGGTCGTTGCTATTCTTCGCTGCACTTATAATTTCGTTGCCTGTTGACAGATGCTTACACGGTTAGCCACACAAATCACATGTGTTTCACACCGACGTGCAAACATATGCCCGTACAGACACATACACACACGCACACGCACACACACACACGTCACGCCCAAAGAGGGTTTTTAAAGCTCCTATAGGGAGTTTGTAACCACGTGACCTGAAACTCCCTGGGGAGTTTAACAAGGTCATGTCGTTCATAAACTCTGTGATTAAGGAGGGGGCGTTTTACGATGACATGTGCCGAGTTCACTCCCTACCAGGGAGTAAATAATTGGGGCAGGGGAGTTTTGTGGGCTCATGTGCTGGAGAAACTCCCATTTCGGCTAACTTTTGTTTACAGTGTATATTCGTGACTGAAATTTGTCAGCATTACCCTTTCTGTCGTGGTGCAGCTCAGCTACGCCTGTTGGAGCGCAATTTTGACGGTTTAGGTGCAGAGGCTCATTGCCCTCGATCATGCCTTCAAGGTTTCTGGTTCTTTTCGTGCCAACGGGAATGATGAAGCTGGAAAAAGACGGCATGGGGACGCGCTCCTCTATTATATTCAGTGCATGAATATCCGGCGTCCTGTAGGGCGACAGCTCTTTCTCTGAGATTACTGTTCTGAAGTCGGACCTCAGGTCTATTACGGCGCCACGGTGACTTAAAAACTGCATTCCGAATGCCACGTCCATGAAGCACTGTTGTAGAATAACAAGGCTTGGAGAATAAGTCTCGTTGTTCATTGTGATGGTAGCTGTTTAAACTCCTACCGGCATTATTAGGTGGCGACTAGCAGTCCGGGTTTCGGGTCCATTCCAAGCAGTCCTCACTTTCTCCAGCTTGACGACGAATAGCCCACAGATGGCGGAGTAGTCGGTGCCAGTGTCGGCGAGAGTGGTGACGTTGTGAATGTCGATGAGATTGTCGACATCGCTAGGTCATCGCCTGGCGTTGCGGGTGGGCTGTTGCGTCGCAACACGGCTATAACAATTTTTACCACTGTTTTGGTGTTCCGTCAGCAGATCTTTTTGTGGCATCAAAGTTCTGACGTCAGGGAAACTTTGAAGTGGTGGTGAGTTCTTGAAGTTTTGTCGCATCGTCGTCAGTGGCGGAGGATATTCGGCAATTCGTCGTATTAGCCTTACAACACAATATTACAGGAAACCGGGATTCTGGTGCGCTCCACCGGCGGTATACGAGCGTTACAAAATGGAGCACCAACACACAGTCGAGACATATTTTTGTGTGTTTCAATATATTCAAATAAATTTGGTTTAATAACACTACAGGCGATTTGTATATATGATCGTGAAAATGCATGACATCTACCAATATTTTAAGTGACATTGACGCCAAGCTTCTCTGGATTTTATTTTGCCACTATCGTGCGCAGAGGATACAACTATATCAGTACTTGATAAAAACCTGATAAGTACATGAGCTCACAGCAAAATGAGCTTAGTATAACACTTCATTACCTAGATAAATGATGTAACACAAACGAACTACTTCATAAACAATGTGAATTTTAATGTTTGATTTTCCAGCAACATCAAAATCCTGCAGTTATTTCTCCTTCCTTATCAATAGAAAATCACTCCATGCCCCATGAATGACTCCGCCGTATTTCTAGGTGTGACATAGGAGAGTCATTTTAAGTTTCATCTTCAAATCAATCATATCGAAAAGAAGTCAGTCTTCGGTAGCCGTGCGCTTATGAAGGCACGTCAGTATTTCCCACCTCCTGCATTGATTTCACTGTACTTTGCATTTATTTATTCGCATACAAACTACGGCGTCCTCTCTTAGAGTAACACGTATCAACGTTAGCTTCATTCTATCCAACATATAGAAAATCAAGTCATCCACATCACAAATTGCAGTTCTTCGCGTTCAGATGTCTCTAGTTTGCTTAACGAGCACAAATTTTTTCTGGTAAAATTATTTTATTATAACAATATTTTAATGTTTTTAAGTTACGGAAATTCCAGCTCCCCTTTGAATATATTGAATGTATCTCTCTCAAGAATGCTAGCGCTAACAGGTTTGCTTCTATTCATAGTTACTTACAACAACCCATTCACACTAACTCCGCTAGAAAAACATCTACATTCTCTACCATTCATCTTTAGAATAGTTTGCCGGTTGAACCTAAATACTCGCCCTCATTTTGAATTTTAAAAGCATCAGTCAAATCATTCCTCTCTCTCTTTATTGCTCACCTTAGTTATTCCATATAATTTTTTCCACTTAACCTTATTTATTTTATGTGTTTATTTCTGTTTCCCGTGCAAAATTTTTATTTTTTTCATTTTCACTTGTTTTGTGCCAATTTTTCAAACTTTATTCCGTAATAATTGTGCTCGTAGTATTTGACTTTGCATTGCATTGCTTTTTATTGAATATTTAGCATTGTGTCTTTCGTTTTATTGTATTACTTCAATTTTTATTTGAACTGTTCTAGCACGTTGCTGCTTGTTTTTCCTTGTAGGAGATTATTATTGCCACCTGCTAGTCTTCTGCCATTTTTTTGCAATTGACTTTTGTTGTAGTTTTTAACTGAGGGTCCCGTTTCGTGTACTTATACTCTGGAACCCTCATCTGTATACAAGTGTTTTGTGCTTGATGCTTATGCAACTAATAAAGCTGAAAGAGAAACTGAATTTTGCTAGGTGCATAGAGGCGGAACGCATTCATGACTGAACATGCGTAGCTACAGAGTGACTCCATCTGTTTTATGTAATAATGACCACAGTATTTTACAGGGCACCCAACATGACACTAACGAATCGTGAGTGAAGAAAACTCGTATAAACTAGCAATGACCAAGAAAACGAGAATTCTGAGAATGTAAGATGACACTGTAGTGGTTTTATAAAGAAAAAAAAACTTCAGATGCACTGTATAAAAAACAAGAGTGAGATTTGATTTATTTAAGTGAATTCATCAGTGGCACAATAAATAAACTAATCTCGTGTGCTGAAAAATACAACTCTAAAAAAATACAGCTCAGGAGACCTGAGCATGTTTATCTAGTGATGTGATCCAGCGGGTGTGCATATTGTGACTAGGTGCTTTTCAAAGAACATGGAGTCAGAGAAGTTCGTATCTATAGCGACACAGTATAGCATATTTTCACGATAAAATAACTAGTTAAAGGATAGCAGCTCGTTGAATATGAGCACAAAGTGGAGCCATGTTCACGGTGAATGATAGAAAAGCAAAAGTTGTAAAAATACGCCCGCACTTATCAGTGCCTATTCAACATGAAAGCTTACACCGCAGCACACCTTAACACAAATGTTGGCAATCGACTTGGTCAGCGCATCATAAACGAGCAGAGATTGAGCGACTACTAACATGGCATGTGAAAAAAGTCCCAACTTCGTCGCTAGAGCGAAGCAGTTAAGGTGGTAACAAGATATTTACGATGTACGACTAGTTTCTTTCTTTAAACTGCTAATTAGCGTAACTTAGCCAACGTTGACGCCAGAACCCACGGCCGCTAGAGCGAACAAAGTGACCTTCATGATGCCTGCTGCTTCAACTGAAACTGCCCTGAGAGAACATAATACACAAAATAAACGTATGAGCCTTCTCCGGAATCTTGTCCAAACAGTGCATCCCTGACCAAACCTATATTCTCAATGTCTTCAGTTTCTCCTGAGACCCGCACAGCCCCATTGCAAGGACAGCCGCGTCGTTTTTATTTGCACTGCGATCGTGGGCTGCTTTCAAGTTCTTTCACTCGAACGCAGAACATGCTTAGCGCACGGAAATCTCATCGTCTTTTGGCTTTGTATCAAATGTCAAGATCACGCTGATGGCGAGTGCTATGGCGAAAGTGCACCTAGATTCTCCATACATTTCTTATCGCCCTATGATGCGTGGAGAGCCTTAGAAAAAAAAAAAACAGGACCACTAGGAAGGGTCAATTCAGTGGTGAAAAAAGTGCCAGCCAGCACCTGTGACGAAGCACAAGTACGAATATCTGCCGCACTATGTTAGGTGGCAAAGGCACTGCCGTTGGAAAGTAAATATTAAGAACAGTCAGTACGTGAATGAGACTAACCTTTGTATCTTCATTAAGCTTTGAATTTTAGAGCCGACTGAATCTGTTTAACGGTATGTGGTAACTTCACAAAAATGGTATTCGTTCATCTTACAATTTCGTACTTATTTTTCGACAAAATTTGAGGATGGAAGCATGATCTGACCAAAATTGGTAAAATAAAAAAGCTGTGGTATTGATTATACGCACAGCTTAGCAGAACAACATAATAAAGGATCTGTTTACCAATATGCCAATAGCAGATATTTTGTGCGTTTTCACTCAATCATAAACTGCGGCGTAAAGAATGTGCTCGATTTGTGTAACAGATTTCTGATAACAAACCACAAAGTTATGCCTACAAACCGAAAATACACGAGTGTTTAAGATAAACGCCATGTCTGTTGCTCAGTTACTTCTCACTTTGGAAGCAAAAGGAATCACCCACCAGAGCTAACCAGAACCGTGTCAACTCATTTGTGACATTCAGTCCCTTTGAGGCTATGTGTAATGCCTGTACGATGACACTGTCACCAATAAGTTTCCTTACATCTCGCAGGCAACCTCGCCGTCCACAAGCACTTGTATGGGGGTGTTTATTTCGTGGACTCGTTCCCGAAGACCGAGACGGCCAAAGTGAACCGAACAACGCTTGCTCGTTCTCTTCTAAAAGTGTAGATACGCTCTTTTTATTAGTGTTAATAAAATGTTTTGCGTTATGAACGGTGCTTTTGGTGTGGTAATAGCTATTACTCATGTCCATGAAAAACTGCGAAAATCAATGAAAAAAACTATTTGGTGCCCTTACGGAAGCCGAGTTCACTGTCTTGCTGTTCGTTTTCGTTGTCGGTTTCTGTTTAGTTCTATGATGTCGCTTTCCGCACAAACCTGCTACCGTCAAACTCAAAGTATCTTAAATGCCCAGCATTTCCTAATTTTCAGAAGCAGTAAAAATATCTATCTATCTATCTATCTATCTATCTATCTATCTATCTATCTATCTATCTATCTATCTATCTATCTATCTATCTATCTATCTATCTATCTGTCTGTCTGTCTGGCTGTCTGTCTGTCTATCTATCTATCTATCTATCTATCTATCTATCTATCTATCTATCTATCTATCTATCTATCCATCTACCTATCTATCTATTTATCTATTTATCTATCTATCTATCTATGTATCTATCTATCTATCTATGTATCTATCTATCTATCTATCTATCTATCTATCTATCTGTCTGTCTGTCAATGTATCTATCTATCTATCTATCTATCTATCTACCTATCTGTCTATCTCTTTATCTATTCAGCCGCTTACGTTTATGTGCTCTCGTGATCCCCCCCCCCTCTTGGTGTGAACCGAATGGGTATAGGAGGGTAAATTGGTTCGACTAATATGACGCAGTGATCAAAACAGAAATAATGTTACATTCCCGTCGCGCACGTCGTCACACACTTCCCGCCAGACAGTGGCACCTACCCACGGGCGAGTATGTGCCGCTGATATGCGTGTATGTACCACATGTGATTGACTCTTATTATCTACCGAGGAACGATGGGAACGCATAGGGGCAATTTTAGCGCGCAAGCGTTAAGAAAAATTGGAGGACCTTAAGCTTCGCCTTTAAGTGTTGAACGAGATAACAAAATCCGGCCTCTAGTGCGCCCTTCAAACAAGTGAATACTTATTCATGTGTTGTTAGACAGACAGAGAGACACACACACACACACACACACACACACAAACGCGCGCGCGGAAGCGCGACGTATCTATAGTAATGGTAGACGTTTTCTATTTAATTACCAGCACTTTTATAACAACTTAAGAATCTTCATGGCTCGTAAGTTTTAGGACACTACTTCAGATGTATGTCCCGCAGGCACTCTGCACAGTGTGGCCATTTCCCTCTGCTCAAACGGCGCTCTTCTGTGCTCGAGACACGTTTTTCACGTCTCGCAGATGGCACACACACACACACACACACACACACACACACACACACACACCAGGCGCGCGCGCGCACGCTAGGATGGTACATACAAGTTTTCGATAGAAAGCAAGAGTCGCATGGCTGCCGAGATAAACGTGGCGCACTCGCCTTCTGGGAGGCATAAAAAGTCTCCCAGTGCCTCACAGATGGGAGCATCTAGTGTTTGCAACACCTCTTGAAAGGCATGACGTTTTCCGCTGGGTGGACATACTTGTCCATTTTCAGAGCTGTTTGAAAGTTCCTGTGGGTTTTTAGCTGCGATGTCTGCACAATCCCGGCCTTTTTCGACGTAGCTTGATGGCCTCTCACATACGCACAGAAATCACCGAATGGGGTTGTTTTCATCGTGATACCTGTCGAACAGAATGCGTTAAGAAGGTACCTTGCTATACATGGCATTTATGTAGTGTTCTCTTCCCGAAACAGCTGCAACGAACATCGTTGCTTTAGAGTAGGACACCTGCTTGCCACGCGAAAAGCTCAGGTTCAATCCTCAATGGGACCAAAAATTTGAATATTTATTTATTTGCTTCTTGATTTTTCACTCACAGATGATTTTCGCTCACAACCAACGGCGCTCTCAAACGCTATCACGTCAATACCCGACATCGGTAGCGTCGATTCGACGAATACAAATAATAAATGTCAGGGTCCCATCTGGAATTGAACCCAAGCATTCTGCGCGGCAATGAAGCATTCTTCAACCGAGCTACTCCACGTGTCAGAATTAATTTTCAAATAGATGCTAACGTTGGTGAAACGTCAATAATGGTTGCAGTGCTGCCTATCCAATTACATAAACGTTAATTATGTACTCCTTTTGTACAGCCGTCACGTTGGGTTGAATTGACACTAAAGTCCAACAAACATTTACGTCGAAGTCAGTGCTCAATGTATGACAACATATAAAACAATAATATTATCAACAAACGTGCCCAAGTTGCTCAGAAATTCAGGTAAATCCACAAGAGCACACACGCCGCAGTAGGATATTTTCAAAATGAGTCCGATGACATCAGTCCGATGGCCCACCTACAATTACTCTCTTGTAGTCAATCTAGCTGCACTAAAGAAAGAACCTTCCGTGCATCAAGAGAAGCAATAAAATGCTGCATGTTCGTTTCTGCTTGATTCATGGAAAAAAGAACCACTGGACGTTGCTCTGGCGAACGGTGCCAGTGCTTAAAAAATTCAATTTTCGTGATGTGTCAGGGAACACGTGGTGTCATCTTGCGGGGCGCAGTTGAACCCCCCAAAAAAAAGCAATCTCGAAGCCAATGACGGGACTTTGATCAATGGCGGTTGTTGCTGCTGTGGTTTTTGCTGCTTGCGGCCTGCTGTTATCAGCGCTGTGATTCTGAGCAACGTTGTGCACGGCAACAGTGACGTGAGTCAGTCCGGTCAGTTCGCTTCTTGAGGCGGGAAATTTTAAGTGCGCTAACCCGATGCAGACCACTAAAATGTGACCTTATTTCAAAATTGGCCCTTCCTTGGCACAAAGGAACACTAAGAGGTTTCTGGACCGCTATTTCAACAATCAACGTTGACCTAATAGTTGCCTTTAGTGTCCCTTTAACATCAATTTTCGTTACGTGCCATGCGCTGAAGCTGATGTAAGTAGCAGTGTCCAGGGCAAGCATTCTCGCAAGCATTAGCGCTCCATTAAACTTCAGGCTTAGCTAACACGCATGTTCTTTTTGGCATCGCTGCGCAAGTGCAAACAACTGGTTATATAAACATCTGCAACTCTTCAACAAATCTCTGTGCGTGTAACATTTGTACATATATTTAACGTGATTGTCTGACGTGTCGCTCAACGAAAGAAAGAGCGACACGCTAACCTTTCCTCCGTATGCTTCGCATAACGTCGATTCGCAAGGTACGAGGGATCTCCAAACTTTTTTGTGTTTTATTGAGTTTTTGTTTCAGTACATGCTATAATACTTGCATTATTGTTTTCTATATTTAAAAATGTCTCCCCCAATCTTAGTTTACTTCCGTTGACTTGGCCACATATCTTTACTTCTACAAGGTTCTTTTTAATAACACTGTTAAGGATACTTGCTTTTCTGCATTCGGCTGGCTTTCCTCATTGTGAAGTTCGATTCTTACGTTTCGCTGGCAAACAAATAAAACTGTTATCAGACGCATGAGCTTCCGTTTCACACAGCAACTACATTACCATTTTCGGTATAGGCAAGCTTTGTATTTGTCTGTTTGTTTCACTTTAAGTAAACTGAATTTCTACCTCTCATGTTCAAAGTGCTCTTGCAGCTGCTGGTTATTTGGCGTACAGTTCAATCCACTCCAAACTACACTGACTTGGGCAATGCGTCTGCTAGAATAGGTAAAAGCTGGCACACTGTCAACATTTCTGTGGTTTTGTTTCTTTGGCGAAAATTCCGCTTCCAACACCACCTCTATGCCACCTGTTCTCTTATAATAATGAGTCTGGTTCGCGACTGTCCCTCAAAGAAACAATAAAGCACGGCACGCTTGATAAGAGAAATGAAAGCTAAGAATTTTAGCCGATCATGGGAACTGTATTCAAGCCTCCTAGGTATCTGCGAGACTTGCCTCTCAAGGAACAGTCTTATCACCACTCGTGTTCAACATAGCTATGACGAGCCTCCCAAGCCAACTGGCTCGGGTGGATCTCCCTGAACACACGGATATGCTGATGACAATATAGTTTGGAACTCTGAGGTGAGCCTTGCATAAACTCAGAACCACGTTCAGCGGACTGCATCCATGGTCGCGGCGTATGCTAACGATTGTGGACTACAATGTGCTATAGCTAAAGAGAGCTTCTGCATGCCCGAGAGAACCCAAAACATAGCATAGGTGTACATATCTCTCTGCCTGATGGTCCTATCGGAGAGGCGGAGGATATCCGGATTCTGGGCATTTTAACGCACCAAAACTCAGACCAGACTATGCTATCATGAAACTTAAAAAAGTAAGTGAACAGGTTTCCAACAAACGGGGTGGTATGCGGGGCAGGGACGCACTTTGGTTCACACATGCCTTCGTGGCTGGCCGGAAGATCTACGCCGGGCCATAACTTTACACTAACAAGCAACACCACCAATAAATTGACGCCACTGTCCGTAAGGCTACAAAGAGAGGTCTGGACCTCCCGGTGGCTACCCAGTACAAACCTCAGGGCGTTAGGTGCGCTCAAGTCCAACCTGGAGTTTCGGGAAGCACGCCTTATAAATCACTATATGTGGCTTATTAAGACGCCCCCCGGGTGCCCTCTGCTCAACCGCTTCCACATACAACACTCTCGGTCTCCAAAGGAGGCGGAGCTTGTTGCACAACGTTGGCTCTAAATGCTCTGGGCCTCTCCGCTCTCCAATAAAATTGACGCGCACACATATGAAAGCAGGTGATAAGCGCAAGTTCGGACGCTTAAAAGATAACACGGTTCCCAACGTGGTGTATTCTAATACACGTAGCAAGGCCCACGCGCAAGAGATTTTACACACCCGCTTTAGCTCACCAAGGAATGCAAGTAAACGGGCTGCACTTCCGAGCGCACAACCCAAAGTAGGCCGAGGAGGTAGTGATCGCGCTTGCTGCCACAGATAAAAATTTGAAGGCAATAAAAATGTCTTCCATAGGAGCGTGTGCTCACTACCTAGCAGAGAAGATAGCCCCCTTGGTTAGCCATATTCTAAGACGGGCTGTCGCTGGTCCAACCCCGAAACGCATATTATTAAATGCGAACC